CCCGTAGCGTGTGGCGTCTTAAACGTAGGTGCGACATCTACCGACGGCCACGCTTCTTCCTGCGCTGAATCTCATCAGTAATACTACATTGCAGTGACGTCACACTACGTCATCCTGTGCTGACGAGGCAGATTTACAGTCATCAGCCTGAGGTAATCAGTTCTTACCCTGTCGCGTGCGTATGAATCACATGAGATGTCAAAATGGCCGTTGAACGTGAGTCAAGGTCTTAGCAGCAAGCTACATCTCCTGAAATCCCCCTAGTAACCAGAGCCCTTGTAAGACCTAAGAGTAGAGACCTCGAGGTTTTTCAAACCAGCCGCCCAGGTCATTGTGTGCCTGCCGGGCTAGGTCGGGTGTAGTGTAGTGACCGCGAGAAGAAAGAGAGTTACATTTACTTTTGACTTATTTTGCTGCACTTACTTAGCTTTACTTACTTGGACTTTAGCAGCTAGGTAATCCATATACCTTCGCGCGATGCATCACATGAATTCAAAAATGCGGTGTGGTCCTAGGAAGCGTTACTTACGTTACCTGTTAGCTTTAGCTGGAGTGAGAGCGTGCTGGTGGTTGGATGATTGGGGCGGCGATGCAACTGGACTAGGTTCATTAACGTACAGCGGTCGCTTTCCCTTGGCAACGTTGTCGGCGGCAGTCAGGAGACGCATACCCTCTTATGTGCAGCATTGCCGATGTTGAAGCCAGATGGTTTGCCCCCCCAGGATGAATCAGCGGACTGTTCTGGCTCTCTCTCAAGTTCTGGTTCTCATCTCAAGTTTCTGGTCTCTATAATAGTTCCCGGTTCTCTATCTAGTTCTGGCTGCTCTCTCAATTTCTGGCTCTCTATTAGTCTGGCTCTCTGCTTCGATCTGGTTTTGTTTAGATGTTCGTATGCTGATTAACAAAGGATTTCGGTCCGTGATTGTCGGTGGCAGCAACGTGGACCACAGCGGTGAACAGTGCACATCCTACGCGCGGCAGATCTAACAGAGCTATGGCTGGGAGAGCGTGTCCTCCGTCGTGTGAAGCTGTCATGCATTGCAAATCTCATGCTCACTCCCGCGTATATATATATCACTCAAGTAGATTAAAAAACTATTTATCTACTCTGATATTCATCTACGCCGACTGGAACTTTTTGCTCGCGATTTCTGCGAGGAGAAGATCGCTAGAAGCTGGTTTGTACGATTTTTGAATTGATTGTCTTGATTGTGCCGCACGACAGGCAGGCGTGGATCGGTGAGAGAAGCAGACTGTCCTCTAATGCATGCCTCTCTCTCTTGCGCGCAGCTCTCTCTCTGCCTTTTTTTCTCATCGCGCGCGCGTTCCTCTCTCTCTGCCTTTTTTTTTCTCTCTCGCGCGCGCGAGCTTCTCTCATCTGTCTTTGTTTTTCTACGCGCTCGCCCTCGCCGCTCGCTCGCTAATCTCTTCCCAATCTCTCTCTCTCATCTCTCTCCTCTCGTTCTCTCTCTCTCTCTCATCCTCTCTCTCCGTTCTCTCATCTCTCGTCTTCGCTCTCTCTCTCTATCTGCTTTTTATCTTCTCTCTTCCGCTCTCTCTCTCTCTTCTCTCTCATTTCTCTTCTCTCTCATCCTCCTTCTCTATCTCTTTTTTAATCTTATCTCGTCTCACGGCGCTCTCTCTCTCTCCTCTCTCATCGTCTCTCTCTCTCTCTCATCTCTTTTTTTATACTTCTCATCTTACCGCTCTCTCTCATCGTTTCTCGCGCTGTCCCTCTCTTGCCTGATAATACTCTCCCTCTCTGATCGCACATTCTGTTTTCTCTCGCGGCTCCTAGTCTCTCGGCCCTGTCTTTCCCCCCTCCTATTCTCTCCTCTTTCTCGCTCTCGTTTCTAGCACCCGTTGTCCCCCCCCCCCAACGCACGCGCAGACCATAAAATGACACTAGACAGAATGCAAACGATAGCGCCGATGAAACGACTATTACATGTCAGTAACAGGTTTTCTTTCCCGCGCTCGTCACGCACCTATATACTCTCCTCATTCTCTCCTCTCGCTCTCTCTCTCTCTCTCTCTCTCTCTCTTCGTCTCTCTCTTCTCCTCGGCTCTCCCTCTCCTTCCTCTCTCTCTTCTCTCTCCTTCCTCCTCTCCTCTCTCTCTCTCTTTCTCTCTCTCTCTATCTCTCTCTCTCTCCCTCCTCTTTCTCTCTTTCACCCCTCCTCTCTCTCCCTCTATTACACGTAACAGGTTTCCTCGCTGCATGTCCCTCGCACGTGCTAAGCAGATGATCATATCCCAGCAGCCGAATGCTCTTCAGTATTTCTCTCATAGATGAGCAACCGCCACGTGTCTTTCCACACGGACCTCCGGCCACGCTTCACAGTCCGTAACATACCGGGGCGTGCATCGTAAACACTTGCTTATTTACGTTCCTACACAGACGATGGGTGATTTATATAGTTGCTTGTGGTTGATAGTCGTGATAGCCAGCAGCCATTGTCGTTGCTACTTTAGTTGGTGTCAGTCTAAACAGAGATGATGAAGGGGTTGAATCGTGATTAGCAATGCAGGGCATGTGCGTCGTGATAAAGCATGTGCTACGGTACCACAGAATTATAGCAGTCACTAGTATATTGTTATAGCAGTATATATAGTAGTAGTGTAGTGTGTAGTAGTAGTTAATTATAGCAGTCGGTAGTTCTGTTCATATAACGTAAAGTTCTGTTCATAAAACCTTTTTAGATGAATTGTTTGTAAGGCATTATTAGTATTTACCGTAGGTACGATGTGTGAGGAAACCTTGTATCTTTCTGGACTACACTCATGTTGTACAGATTTTAACGAGGAAGTTAGCTGTAAACGTAAATTTTATTTGCATACAAACGAAAAAGAATTACAATTTAATTGTAATAGAAAAAATAGGAATGCATTCGAAATAAAAGCACGAGCATATGTGTTCCAATGAAAAGATAATGATAAAATAAAATGTAATATCTATTTAAATATCAAATGTATAAGCTTTAATTAAAATATAAACTAAATTTAGAGTAAAACGTGGTTAAACTGTAATGCAATTAAAACTTAAATTCCTCAAAAAAAAGTCAGCAAGAATCACCATTGTTTGGTAAATGTTAAAAGCAAGTTTGTGATCACTGATAACAGGACAGGACGCATCTTTACCGGAAGCAATAGATAGGTGTAGGCAACAGCAAAAATGAAATACGCTGCACGGATAGTGCCTATATAGTTAGTATTGGTCGTATAGTTACGGTCGTAAATATACGGGCATGCGCTCTTGTCTCTAGCTGAGTGTGACCCTACCGCCACCTACTGACACAGAAGGGAAACCTCCAGATTAACAATACGTGGTTAGTCAATGAATCCCGGCTTATAAACGGTGTAATGAAAGAAGTATTGCGTGCGCGGGGGGGGGAAGTCGCAATTTGCTCTGGCCGCAAGGCAACATCTTTTTTTGCGGTAGAAAATATCATTACTAGGATGCGTGTTGTAAACAGCTTTTCTTTGCTGCCCTTTGGCCTGTCCCATTAACTGTGTGTGCGTGCGTGCGTGCGTGCGTGCGTGCGTGCGTGCGTGCGTGCGAGTGTGTGCGTACACACACCTGCCACTACACGAAGCTACAGTGAAAGTCGACATTCTCGATATTTTCTTGTTTTGTAGTGTGTGGGTATGATACGCGTTTGTTTCCGAGTCTAATACTCATTTCTAGATCAATATATCATCGTTTTTTTTATTGTCGTTCGTCGCAGAAAAAGCTTCGTTGTAACGTATGTTGGTCTTGCCTCCATCACACGCGTAATCACCGTTTTCATGGGTTGTAACTTTTTCTGATATTTTCATTCGGAAACTTACAACTTTCGTTGTAGCAAAGACTTGCTTGTAGAAAGTAGAAAGTAAAACTGGCAGAATGCCTTGTACAAACTGGCAGATATGTGCACGTGGTTGACGTATTCTCTACTGACGCTCATAGGGTCTATGTCCCCCAGGGTACAGCCGGAACGTACCCTGGGTACGGTCCGGTATACCATCCCGACTGTACATCTGGTCCACGTAATTTGATGATGGAGGGTTAGGATTAAGGTTAGGGTTAGGATTTAATGGTTGGGTTGTCGGGTTCGGCAGAGATTAAGCGATAGGCCACTCATTCACGAAACTCGTTTATTTGCATAGAGCGAGGCTACGGTCCCGGGTGAAATATTAGATAGTATCCGAAGGTAACGTTCCGTAAATACCGACCTGTACCCCCGGGCTAACGTTCTTGGCGTACCGCCGGGACATAAGACCCTATGAGTCTCTACTGAACGGGGTATATATCCTGAGCTCCATACGCTCGTTATAAATCAGTATGGCCTTTTTACGGTTACATTGAATGTTCTACTCTGAGTCAGTTAATACAAAGCGTCGGCGCGCAACGAATCTGCCAGGGTAGTAGATTGCAATAGGGTTGATACAGTTTGGTTTAGACACACTCTATGAATTTGTTAAACTGTGGTGAGATTCTGCTGTTGAACAATGATAGTAACCACAAACCCACACTATATATATATATGTGGTGTGTGTGTTTGTTGTGTGTGTGTGTTCGTGCGTTCGTATGCGTGTGTTGTGTATAATATCACATGAACAATATATCAAGAGCGTATAAGTATGCTTACTAAGAGCATAACTTAATACGCTCTTGACTCATTATATATAAATATGATATATGTACTCTTGATATACTTTATATAATAAAATCAAAACGGCGACTTGTAATTAAATTAAAGTGTGCCGTAGTAAGTCATGACTTAAACTTCTCTTGATATAATTGTATAACGGCAAATACATTATCGTATATATATTAATATATATTATATATAAATACTATATATTTGTTATATATATATATTTATGTGTGTGGGTATTTTGGTTATACACCCCGCACTGTAGCTATAGCTTGTTTATTTATCTCGGGAAAAATGCACGGCTAAATGCACGACGCGGCAGAATGTTTGTAAGATGCGGGAGCAGGATAAAAGTGTGTTGACCGATTGGGCAGCTGTACATCCACACAGATATTTATTTACCAGCTTCAGATTCTTATATTTATGTGCGTCAATGTTGCAACAGGAACGCTAAAAGGAAATCGGCAACTTTTCGTACGAGCTAATACACATACGGACACCGTTCATGTGTGAGCGTGGTCATAGAAGCTGGGATGCTTGACCTGATTCAGCATTTTTACAGACAATTTTACACATACAGACACCCGTTCATGTGTGAGCGTCGACATAGAAGCGGTAAGGCTGGGGGAAGCGACACCTTTACCTGCAATGTTACACATACAGACACCGTTCATGTGTGAGCGTGGACATAGAAGCGGTAAGGCTGGGGGAAGCGACACCTTTACCTGCAATGTTACACATACAGACACCGTTCGATGTGTTGAGCGTCGCCAATAGAAGCCGTATAGTCAGGAGGAAGCACACTCTATACCTGCAATGTTAACACGATAACAAGGACATTCCGTTCGTGTTGGGTGAGCCATGGACATTTGTAGGATGCGTTCACGGCTGGAGGAACGCTACACGCTTTTAGCATGCAATGTTTAGCACATACAGACACTGTTCATTGTCCTGGTATACGTCGACATAAGAAGCGGTAAGGGCTGGGGGAAGAACGTATCACCTTTTACCTGCAAGTACACAATACATGACACTTCATGTGTGAGCGTGGACATATCTAGCAACAGAGATGTTGAATGATTCAACATATTTACCTGCAATGTTCGCGTGAGGGGAAGCAAGCGCACGAAAGCCCACCAGTCGTTATTCCAATAGTTTTTCTAATGATCGCGCAGTAGAACTATTCGTCATGAGTGTGTATTACTGTAAGTGAACTAAGTCCGACCGCCTACTCACACATTAAGGCTGTTGTCGACGCAATCCGTTCATTGGTGCGTGTAATGGTGCGTTGTAACGCAGTACCTTTTGTTATATGCGACTGGTCAAAGTTTTGCTGGCCAGTAGGCAGGAATAGTTATAGAAGGAATTGAGATGCAGAAACTGAAATAAAGGAACTGGTAGGCAGGGGGATCATAAAGATAGGAATTAGTTAAAGGTAACCACACCCTCTAATTGCGAAATTATAAAGGATATGTATTATATGATTATAAATTGGTGAGAATGCGGTAGATCTGACGTCGAGAAAAGAGAAAGAGAGAGAGAGAGAGAGAAAGAAAGAGAGAAAGAGAGAGAGAAAGAGAGAGGTGGACTGCAAAGTGAGTTCTCTCTTCTTCTGTATGCGCACTATGTACAGTTACGCACTATGTACAGTAGTACACTACGTACAGTAGTACACTATGTACAGTAGTGCCACTATGTACAGTTACGCACTATGTACAGTGGTACACTACGTACAGTAGTACACTATGTACAGTTACGCACTATGTACAGTAGTACACTACGTACAGTAGTACACTATGTACAGTAGTGCACTATGTACAGTTACACACTACATACAGTAGTGTACTATGTACAGTAGTGCCACTATGTACAGTTACGCACTACGTACAGTAGTGCACTATGTACAGTTGCACACTACGTACAGTAGTGCACTATGTACAGTTTCACACTATGTACAGTAGTGCCACTATGTACAGTTGCACACTACGTACAGTAGTGCCACTACGTACAGTTGCACACTATGTATGTTGCAGGGTGACCTTCTACAACGACAAGTACCTAGCCCCACTGCTCATGCGCGAGCCGCCCAAGTCGCGCAACCACGAGATCGTTAACGTGTTTACGAAGCTAAGCCTCAAGGATGCGATGGACCACCTGGCGCGTCACGGCACCTTCACGAGCATCGACGATACCTCCATCGGCCGACTCATACGCAACTTCTCCTCCTCCAACATGCACAGGTAACATCATGTAGCAACCTAGTTAGCTAGCTTACCTTTACAGGTAACAGCTGTAGCAACGTCGTTAGCTTACCTTTACAGGTGACATCATGTAGCAACGTCGTTAGCTTACCTTTACAGGTAACAGCTGTAGCAACGTCGTTATCTAGCTGACCATTACAGGTAACAGCTGTAGCAACGTCGTTGGCTTACCTTTACAGGTGACATCATGTAGCCACGTCGTTAGCTTACCTTTACAGGTAACAGCTGTAGCAACGTCGTTAGCTTACCTTTACAGGTAACAGCTGCAGCAACGTCGTTAGCTTACCTTTACAGGTAACAGCTGTAGCAACGTCGTTAGCTTACCTTTACAGGTAACATCATGTAGCAACGTCATTAGCTAGCTTATCTTTACAGGTAACATCATGTAGCAACGTCGTTAGCTTACCTTTACAGGTAACATCATGTAGCAACCTAGTTAGCTAGCTTACCTTTACAGGTAACATCATGTAGCAACGTCGTTAGCTTACCTTTACAGGTAACATCATGTAGCAACGTCGTTAGCTTACCTTTACAGGTAACATCATGTAGCAATGTCGTTAGCTTACCTTTACAGGTAACATCATGTAGCAATGTCGTTA